TTATTATTATTAATATTATTATTATTATTATTATTATTATATTAATATTATATTATTTCTATCATGATTATTTAATTTACGTCCAGTATTGAAATCTGAAACAGTAGCACTTACTTAAACGTCTCTATTATCATTATTAATATGAACGAAGCATTTATTATATCTGCTATCATTTTACACCCATAATCGCATCAACAGTTTATTTATCCCGACGTGCCGGGAGTTTTATCACAACCCCCTCCCCCGCCCCCAGTACTATAGCAACGATTAATGTAATAATATTATTGACATCGTTATTGCTGCTCGATTAATGATTCTGGTTATTGATCTTATTATTAATATATAAATATATACATAAAACTATATGTGTATATCATCGTTATTATCGTTTACAGGCAGGACTTATTTTCATTTCTTGTTGCGTGAATCGGCAAACGAATTTTTAGGGTGACTAGTTTAAATGCGTGCATGCGTGGGTGAGGAAAGCGAGTGTTAAATGTACTGTGTATATCTTCGTTATCGGGGAATTTTGAAAATGAAATCGTAAATCATGATCAGGCTCTCAAATCGATCATTAATTGATGGTACCCGCGATCAAACGCTAATACGCGCTGTCTGTGTATGTAGAGAAGAGAAAAATAATAAAATTAATATTATACACACGTGCATTCATACCTTTCCGTATATTTAGTTGACCACGGATTCAAGGGAATAAGAATCACACGATTTGCATAAATATATCCGTTTATTTTTATTGTATAATTTGTAATGATTAGTTCGTTATGATTAATATAATACAATCCGCGAGTCACGCGATTCTTCCGGTGACGAGCCTCTTCGCGACAAATAGTAGCCGGCATTGCTTCGCAGAGGGATCCCTAACGGGTGCAAGGACGAGGATGGACGGTAGGTTGCGCGAAGAAACTGCTAGCAAGTTTGCGTTCCGTTCAGCTCGCAACGCTGCAATGTCAAAATGATAAGAGACAGAGAGAGCTACTGCTACGGTTATACTACTACTCCAGGATGTGTTTTATCTGCAACAGACAATTGATGCCGGTTGTGTGATGATTCCTCGGGCTAAGCGCGCGGCGAGTGCGCACACACGTTGGGTCAAAGTTACTGGGACTCGCTCATTTGCCGCCACCTCGACACCCCGGGATACCGTTGCTTTTTTACTTTCGTCGTTGAACGCTGTTTAGCTCGCCACGGAGCTTGACCAGCGATAACGCACGCTTGTCTGGTTTTTATTTACTCACTGCTGATTACGGAGCTGAACGGCATGAATCGCGGCTTCGCAGGTACCTTTGGCGCGTCCTTTCGAGCTCCCGGTGATTTCTCTTCGTTGAGAAGACGTTTCACCTGCGGACGATCGTTTGAAATATCTCGAATGATCACTTCACGTTTTGGCAACGAACCTGTTCGTCGATCGCGTTAAATTGCCATTTCCATGTGTGATTATAGAGGAATGGTCGATGATCGAATCGGTTGTCGTCGGGACTGTAAGTCTCCGCGTGACAAGATGGCGTCAAGATGGTCATTTTGTGCCGATTTATCGCGTAGCATCTATAGAAGTGTTTCACCTTGTCCGCCACCTGTACAAAATAAAATGTACATACGTTAGAATAAGGAAGATATCGATAATTATACATATACATATATATTCGAAGGTATTTACTTCTTTCGGAGTAGACTTATCCCACATGTGAATAAGTCTGCAGAACATCGTGAAAGGACCAGCGCAATCCTGTTTCCTCAACCGTCCGAATGTGCCGAGTTCTTTGTACGTCATACCCATATCGACTTCGTCCAGTTGCGCGAGCTGTCCACCTTGCAGAGGCTCCAACTCCGCAGTAGGAGGAGCATTTAAGATTCCGTCCAAAGCAGTTATCCCGTGTTTCTTCCTGAAACAAATCCAACAATGATCGATTTATTCGAGTATAGATATTTTTAGTGTACGAAGAAGTATCAAATACGAACCTGAAATAAGCGAGGAACGATTTTAAATCATTCTTCGCAATTCCGCCGATGGGGTTTATATCGGCGCTACTGCAATCGTATTTAGTGAAGTATCCTCGAAGCGCCTCGTCGACGTTACTGCTTCCTAGCACCAAGAGTCCACCCGGTCGTCCCCTGACCCAGAGCATCAGTTGAGCGAATAGATAAGCTATCACCATCCTTAAACGAGCCTAATACTCCAAATTATAAAACGATCGAAGAATATTCCTTCTAGAAATAAGGAAATATAAAAACCCACTTGGATATTCTGCAAAGCTAAATTTTCCCTGGGAGATCCGCCTTGCACTTTGAATCTCGGCGACAGCTTGGTAACTTGTTGGAAAATGGTGAGAATTGCGGATATCGCTACGTCAATTACTATGCTATGATGATAGGAACCGATTTGGCTAGCGAGTTCAGCGGCTCGTGCTTTCGTTTCAGGGGACGAGTTTTCCGTACCCATGTAACACGTTACTAGAATCGTGTTGCATAATTGTTTCGGATCAGTCGGAACGTATTCGCAATCACCAACTATCTTTCTGATATCGGACAATACCTGTGTGTCTGATCGAAGATATTCGATAATTATATTTACTGAGATTATTAAATAAATAATTAAGCCAATAATCCCTACCTCCTTTGTTAACCGAATTTACGATCATGTCGCACATAGAATAAACCATGCAGGCCGATGAAGCCGAGTCTACGCCACCGCTCAACGGTAAAAAAAATCCACCTTGACACGATCGCCTTTTGGAATAAAGCGAATTGACATTTAGATCATCCTACTATTTGAATCAAGTAAGCAATTAACCTGAGATAATCCCAGAGCCAGCAAGCAGGCGCCATCGAAATCTCCTCCTCGGGAGTATGATAGACAAGCTTCCCGGTTAGATTTTCTCCTTCGTAAGGACCCAAATCGACGTCGATGGGCCGGTCCGGAGGATTCGAAATTAAATTCTCCGAAGTTAGAGCGAAGTCCACTTTGACTCGCGGATAACTCTGCGATTTCGCAGCTATATGAGTTCTCGATCTCATATTATTTCTATAGCTCCTAAGAAAAACGCAAACAGTTATCTCGATCTAAAATTGCCATCGCAAATGCTGCGAACCTGATGTTCTCCAAATCGAAGGTAGCGACGACTACTTCCACATCGTCCAAAGCGAATTCCCTGCCGCGATTCAAGATCTGACCATTCAACGTGATGGATGAACCCCCGTTAAAGTACAATCTAGATCCATCGCAGCCCCGCAAATTGCTGAACATGTAACAGCCGCCCGATTTGAAAGTAGCCGACTTGACCAGGTCAACAGTGACGTACGCCTTCCGTAATTCGAAGTACGAGCCGCTACCTTTGGAAATAAACCCGCGCGTTACTCGTCCTTGTTCAGTGGCTTGATTACGCATGCAAACTACCATTCGCAATAATTTCTACGCCGTCCAAGCTCATGGGAATGTGATTGCTCATCGGGTTCCACAGCTCCTCGCAGATCTCGAAACCGACGCACGTGTCCCTGGTCGAAATGACCGCGTCGCCGAACGGCACTACCGTCTGGCCGGTGATCTGTGATATCATTCTAGGCAGAAAGTAGTCCTCCACCATGCGTTCCTGCATGAACAATCAGCGCAGCTGTGGTCAGACGGTTAGACAAGGTCGGGGGACCGGTGCTAATTTCTTATGCATCGCGCGTGCAATCTCAAGAACAACCTTGGTCCACGGAGAGAACCACCTGGTCTCTCTGTAATTCCCGTCCTCGCACAACTTCATCTTCGGCCTGATCAACAGGATCCGCCGATTCAGCAACGCCACGCGACAGTTGTACGTCACATTCTTGTGCATCACGGGCATACCGACGTCTATCAGCATGTCCTCGGCCACGGACGACTTCAGAATCGTCGCGAGCACCTCCCAGCTGTGGAGAAGCGTGTCTGGCTCGTAGAAATGATCCTCGCAGCTGTAACCACTGTTGGCAAACATTACACTTGTATTAAAACGTTGAATATAAGATAAAAATGTAAATGATTTTATAAAGATAGTTATTTTTTTATATTCGTGTAGAAACTGCTTATTGATGTATAAACAGAAGTCCTTACCAAATCTCCAGCTCGGGACCACTTCTGTAAGTAGCACCAGCTTCCTTGGCTTCCTGGATGCTCTGCAGAATCCTCCGGGAATTTCCATCGAAGTCCATCGCCCATTGATTCAGAGTGCAAGCGGCTACTGTTACCGTGCGACCCATTCTGGAAATTCCTTTTGTACCGCTTCAGGAAATTCAATTATCTGCAACAAAAGGAGTAACAAAAATAACCATTTTTCAATGGTGAATAATAGTTGCCGGTGGGCAGGTGATCGATTCTGACCTATCAATTGAAAGCTCATTGATCGTCGGGAAGAATGTTTGCCGAGGAAATAACAGTACATTCACTGTCGAGCCCGAGGAACGTTGATTGATCAATAATTTTCAGAGCAGACAGAGGAAGAGAGGGATTGAAATTGCTCGACTGTTTCGCACAGCTAACGTTTAAAGACGCCGATAATACATTCCTCCGGTATTAACCGGAATTTGATAAACGCTGCAATTAAACTGATGAAAATGATACAATCTCCATCGGCCGTTCTTAAGATATTAAGTCACACAAGTTGTTATGGTTTGCAGAAACATAAAGCATTTTATATTCCCTGATCTCGTCAAGCTTTGATATAAGAATCGTATTATTAATCGTATTTAACAAGAAACAAATCAAAGTATTTTGAATCTAATAAAGGGATTATACAGGACGAAGTTGTTTTAAGAGAAATCACTAAGCAAACTTTCCAATGAGGCATCGCTCGATAGAGAGTCGTTCCATTGAGTTAGAGCGACGAACCTGAAGAATCATCGAGCCGCTGGCTCCGCCCCTGTTTCACCGTCGTCAAGCAATCGAGCTTTCATGGTACATGCAACTCTTCTTCGAGGGGTTAAAGCTCGCAGTTTGCGCGCTCGATTCGTTCGAGGAACATCTGAAGTTTTACTTAACGTCATACATTTTCAAATTCAAAAGATGCGTTTCATATAAAATGAGCACGATGACAGAATGCTCGTCGAAACAGATCTCATTGGACTCTCCTAGCTGTAAGGATTCCGATGAGAGAAAGAAATTAGAGAACGAAGATGCCTGTAGCGAGGAGGATGAGGAGTCCGGTGGAAGATAACGAAAAATGAGAGATCCGTTGCTGAACAGCAGGGTGAAGGAACTTCAAGCTATGCTCTTCCCGATTCATCCGATTCCCGGTGAGTTCCGCGCCGGATTGGGCCTCGTCAAATAGTACTCGTGCGTTATTAATTAGGCGGCAGATTGGCGAACCTGAACAAGCTTCAGGAGCTGCAATTGCTGCAGCTGGGACGGTGCGAGATACTGCGAAGGGAAACGGAGTTATCCCTGTTCTCCGTACCGTTTGGTGCCAGAGACACGCAGGAGATCCTTCGAAGCGCGTTGGACACCCGTTGCATGATCGATGGGATCACTCAGGAGGCGGCTAGGTGGCCCACCGAATGTCAAGTAATTTATTTGTTTATCATAAATTTAAAAATCAATTAAAAAATAATACACATATTATTGATAATTATATTATGTGATTAATACCACACATTTATTACATTCTTCTAAAAATACTTCAAACCATAAACTTGTAGGTACTCTCGGAGAGGGTGAGACATATAGAAGATACGCCAGCCAGCCCAGAACCATTCTATGTGCCAACCGGAAAAGAACCAAGACCTAAACCGCTGGGAGATGAGTTCGGAACCGTGATATTTCGATATCATCCAACAAACATCACCAACTATGTAATACTCGGTCATAAATATAAATTAATACAATAGTCAATACATAATACAAATTAATATAATATTTAATATAGTAATTGATATAATAATAACTAACGAATATAAGAAATAATAACGAAATGGATTAACTGGCTGAAACTCTTTGGGCGACAGTTCAGTAGATCTTGCGTTGGCGGTAGCACCGTCCCAATGGAATGTGGGCGAGATCAGACCGAAAGGATTATCGATAGCAAAGATCTGTTCCTAGTACGATCATCGGACGTGATAGATAACGACACGGACTTGCGTTTTGAATCTCGTTTCGAGTCTGGGAACCTCGGCAAAGTGGTCAAGATCACTGATACTTATTATCAGCTCCACCTTAGGAAAGATCTGTACACCCAGAGACACACGCAGTGGTACTACTTTCGGATATCCAACACGCGGAGCAGAATCACTTACAGGTGGTCTGATTCTTATAAGAAACTTGAGAAACTATTACGAAATTGAAATCAATTTTAGATTATCTATCGTGAATCTATGCAAGGAGGAAAGCTTGTATAATGAAGGGCTGAGGCCGCTCTTGTATTCGATGGAGGACGCCAAGAAACGAGCTGTTGGCTGGAGACGGTGCGGGGAGAATATTGCATACTACAGAAACGATTCCTCGTACGTGTCGCGTAATAAAGTATTTTTTATAAGGGAATTAAATATGCAGAAAGTATGAAGTGTGATGAAAAATTCTATGCAAAACTCTGCAGTCTATTTAATTCACTTTTCCCAGAAGCGATGAAGAGAAAGAGAAACACACGCTGACGTTCAACGTCTCTTTCCCTCACGACAGAGACACAGTCTACCTGGCGCACTGCTACCCATATACCTATAGTGATTTGCAAGTAATAATAGGCAGCATTCTACTATTTCTAGTCATACAATACGGCTGCATAATAGACGGCCGTAATGCGTTATTAATGTCACAGTAGATATATGCAAAATACGGTAAAGTATCGATTATATTTGTCAGACATGCAACTCCTTTAGGAATATCTCGCCAAACTAGTCGCTGATCCTGTTAAGACTAGATATACCAAGCTACGACTCTTGTGTCGAACGCTGGCTGGAAACGGAGTCTACTATTTGACTATCACTGCCCCAGCTTATGACGAGGAGCTGCGAAGGAAGAGAGGAATCGTGATCACGGCCAGGGTTCATCCTGGGGAGACCCCGTCCAGTTGGACGATGAAAGGAATCATCGACTTTCTAACCGGAGAATCCGATCAAGCTAGAGTAAACGAGATTCAGTCATTTTTATCTTATTTTAAATCGTAGATTGCATGCATTTTTTAAATTAATTGCAAGTACAGAGAGAATATCAGAAGTAAAATATTAAAGAAAATTCCTAATTAGATTTCGTTTTAAACTATTTGTTTATTTCATTTAAATTGATATTACAAAAATCCTTACATGTATTACACAATCGAGATCTTATCCAATACAGATGCTTCGCGAAAGGTTTGTATTCAAGCTAGTGCCGATGTTAAATCCGGACGGGGTGATCGTGGGTAACAATCGTTGCTCGCTATCGGGTAAGGATTTGAACAGGCAGTACAGGACGGTGATGAGGGAAAGCTATCCCTCGATTTGGCACACGAAGTTAATGATTCGTCGACTGCTCGAGGAGTGCGGCGTGGCTATTTATTGCGACCTGCACGCTCACTCCAGGAAGCACAACATATTCTTTTACGGATGCGAGAGCAAGCGGAGTTCCCCGCAGTCGAGACTATCCGAGCAAGTGTTCCCTCTGATGCTCCACAAAAATGCTGCCGACAAGGCAAGCACAATACGTTTACGTTAATTTAAAATATCAACTTCGAGATGACACATTCGCGAATGCGAGTTCTCTAAATAAAATTAGTAACGTTAAAAAAGATTAAATAGTCTCCTAACTCGTAGTTCTCGTTTGAAAACTGCAAGTTTCACGTGGAGAAAGCTAAAGAGGGTACCGGAAGGGTCGTGGTCTGGTCGATGGGGGTGCAGAACAGCTATACGATGGAAGCGTCGATGGGTGGAACGAGAATAGGTTCCAGATGTGGAACCCACTTCTCTACTCAAGATTACGAGCAATTTGGAAAAGTATTCTGCGAAACTCTATTAGATTTCTTTGATGCAGACCCAATTAAGGTAACTTCATGCATTTATAAGAAAACGGAATGTGCAAAAAGTATAAACACTGTATATAACATGAAAAATTTAAATGATGGAAGAAATTGGTATTTAAAATATTTTTTAAAGTGACACTTTAAACATTTTATTGTACATAATCATCCGCAATCTACTCATTACAAAACTCATTCTCGATCTATTGTATCATGTTGTTATTTGAAAATCAAGGAGAGACTTCGGAACAAGATAATTGCGAGGCTAATGAAGGAAGGTTCCAGCGCCGAGGAGCCGACAAACATTGATTTAACAGATTATTCCAGGTAAGATTATACTCTTTATAACACTTCCAATTTTTATTTACTTAATTCTATAGCGACGAAGGAGACACATCGGACAGTTCCACATCGGATAAAGAAGAAGCGAATTACGAAGACGTGTGGACGTACAATATGGGGGAACCTGTTGCAGCTCCACAATATATATCTGCACCACCTCCTACACCAACGTATGTTTCTCCACGTAGCTTAGAATTGGCAAGAAGACGAAGTAGAAAGGGGACCACGGCTAATAGAAGTTGCTTTCGTCGCAGAAGAATGCCGGTAGAACATATTAACATACAGGTAGCCCTCCTACAACACGGCATTCTATAACAGGGCTTCGCTCTAAAAGTAAATTATAATTTACTCTACTATTCCGTTACTATTCCGATATAACGGAAAGCGTCATGCACAGTTTACGGTGATTTTGT